TGATATTGCGTTTATACAACAGTTTGACGGCATAATTGTGTATATAAAAACAAAATCAAACATGGAGAGTCTCAAAAACCCTTGTGTATGAGGAACTACTTTCTTCCTGATTCAAATCATAAGCTGACAGTTAAACAGCTGAGCAAGCATCTTTTAAACTTTAGATCTGTAGTGTCTGCTTTTTGCTGGCTGTATGTGGGCGGAGTAATACAAAAAGGGGAAAGAGGCTGTAGGAGTTCTGATATTGCAGAATATCGCACGGCTGTCAGCCAATCAGATTTGAGAACCAGACAGAACTGTTATATATATATATATATATATATATATATATATATATATATATATATATCAGACATGGGCCAGTATAAGTTTCTGCTGGTATGATAACCTTGGAAAAAAATACCAAGGTTTTGCAGTACTAAGTTATTATGATTACTGTTCTAAAATAAGTTCTTTTGAAATGTCTTGGTCAGGGGTGCCCAAACCTTTTCTTATAAAGGGCCAAAAACCAAACTTGATTTAGGGTGGTGGGCTGGAGGTAAATATACCAAACGGTAAAGTTGTTATGGTAATTTTCTAATATATTAATATAATTAATGATATAATTTTATTACAATTTATTATATGATTGAATTAATATTATAATTTGTTATTAAAACACTTTAATTGTATTAAGAATTATTCATTTTGTAATGAACTTCTTACAATAAAAACATAAACAATCTCTTTTATACAAAGATAATTTATAAGATTTTATAACACACCTTGCTTTCATTCGTTTGCTGATGTCACGGGCACTGTAATGTGTGTTATATTCATAGTTCATTTTGAAATAAATTTGCGAAATGTTTTCTCTGGAGGCAACAGCTGTGATTATGGGGTGAGCACTGAGGAAACAGTAGATGTGAAACCCGATTGCTTCTTCATGACATTGGGGTACAAGTGATACACATACGTTTATAGCAAAGAACTGCAAATATGCAGATATTATAACAAGAAACACACCTTGTTCTCTCCCTTTTGCACAAATGTTGTTTGCTGATCAAATGAAACAAAAGACGGGGAGGAGCCGAATTCTGCCGCCGTTTTCTTATCAACTTTAAAGGGAACTGAGGCGATAATTTAGTGTACAGTTCATGAGCTAATCGCTAAAATTTTAGGGGGGCTGAGTAGAAATATAGGGGGGCTAAATAAGTCACAGAGCCTAATTAAGAGAAAACAAGTTGCATTTTAGGCATTTTTTACGACATTTGCTGTTTGTTCAAACTACTTATTCAATATGAGCTGAGACCACAATTATTGAGTTCTTTTGGGACAATTTAATTGATTTATGTTCAATTGACTAAAATTTGTAACAACTATTAAATAAACTTAATTCCTTCATGTTGTCCCAAAACAAACTGATCACGCTGAACCCAGCATTTTTTTACAGTATAGAAACTTGTGCAGCTGTCAGTGCCCAAAATCCTGTCTACATAGACAGCTGACTAGGGAACATAAGCCACATTCTTTATGAAGTGTGCTGCCTAATTAAATAGACAGCATTTAAGGGCATTTTATTGTGCAGATATTATTAGGTATTTACAAACACTCTTTGATCTGTTAGTGCGTGTGCGCACTTAATTAAAGGTGCTCAGAAATACTGTGTAAATATTCAGCTTATTAGGGCACAGAAGTCAAATTCATTCAGTAACGAGCAGCTATCTAGACAACATTTAGTGGCGATTATGCCCATTTTTGGCATTTTAGACATTCTTTTGGCTGCAAGTGTGTGTGAACTTGTGCAACCAATCGCCAAAAATGCTGTCTGGACATTTTTAATACGACACAGAAGTCATTCACTGTGTGGTGAAGAGCATGAGTAGATATTTTTGAGTTGCATGCAACATTTTGGACTGCCACATTTAGGCATTTTAGGTGTAATTAGGCATAGGATGACAACCGTTTTCAAGGTATACCGCGGTTTGAAAAAAAGATTTAAAATTCCAACATTTTCTGTTATACCGTTTCTACGGTATATGTACGATTTTTTTAATGATTCTTTTTAGGACAATAGTGTCTCCAGCAGAAAGGATCTCCGAAGATGCAGTTTGAAGAAATCTGTGTTTTTGGAACTAATGAAGACAGCAGAAGTCAATGATTGATTTGAATTATTTAGCCTGACATGTTTACTGCTCCAAAATATTTAAAATGTTTCTCAAAATAATATATATAGCGAAAATGTTGTGTTCAAAAGGAAAAAAATCTTCAGTTTTTTTGCCCAGACATTTAAAAAGAATATGTTTTAGAGCAGTAATCACAATATCGTGAAACCATGACAAGGTTATCATACTGTCAGAATCATATCCCGGCCCATGCCTAGGTGTAATGTTATGATAATCATATGCTCAAGAGCGAATATGAACATACCTAAACAGGCAGCTAGATCGAGTGAACTATTCTGAACTGTATTGAGCTTCTGCCTTCCTAGAAAGCATTTTAGTCACTCATCTTGGCAAAGACTGCATGTTATGTCATAGAGATGAGAGTGCATGTGAGAGTGAGCCATTGTTTTATTATGCCCAACATACTGCCTAGGCAGGGAGCCAAATAGCATGTTCTCTATACTCTAGTGAGCTGCCTTCCTTTAGCCACTCATCTTGGCACAGATGGCATGTTACGTCACAGAGTGCATGTGAGTTCATGCAACTCTGTGAGGCACAAATATGATGTCTAGAAAGTCAGCTTACTAGCATACAGAAGTCATATCTGTACTGAGCTGCTAAACTAGTTGATTAAGGGTGTCACGATCCTCCAAATCCTCGATTCGATTACATTTTCGATTCTAAAGGCACGATTCGATTCGATTTTCGATTATGAATAAATAATTAATTAATGACCAATTAATTATTTGTAGCCTACCGTTTAAACTACCTGACCTGCATGGTCTTTGTTTTACCCATAAACAAATCATACAAGGCAAGATACACACATAATTACCACCTGTCAATCACTTTTTTCTGCGGGACTCGTGAATAGGCAGGGATCTGTGTCGTTATAATGGCGTCAGTAAAAAGACGCACAACCAACAGGAACCAGCCAACAGTATCTGAGGTGTTCGCTAAAATGACTAAGTACAAGTGAGTGAAAGATTGAAGCAGTCCTCTGACTGCCTGGACCTGCTGTCTCGAGCGGATGGCTGTGTGTGTGTCTGTGTGGTCACGTGATGTGCATTTTCAGAGGTGGAGAGGAAGGAGGGCTGCTCAGAAATGACAATTGACAGTGTAAACAGGGCCTGAGTGTGTACTTTTCGCGAGTGGATTTGCAACGGGGGCGGGCGGAGGATCGCGATGCCGGTGTTGTCTATCGGACGAACCGTTTGTAATACGTAAATAGCAGAGCTTGCAAAACTGTGTTTTTTTTGTCGACAACACGAACGTTGTCAACATAACTCACTGGAAATCCAAAATGCTTCCACACCGGCGACTTCATTGAAAGAGGAGAGGGTTTAAGTTCTGTCGACGGGTCTCCTGCTTCTGCAGTTTAACAAGCACTTAAACAAGCCTGTTTTTTTCCCGCTTGGCAAGCCAAGCTGACGTGACATGGGGGCGTGGCAGCATCGACGATTCTATTTTTTTAAAAATCGAAATCGTGACACCCCTATAGATGATAGTTGCATTCCAAATGACACACTATGCACTTATGCATGTAGTCATGAGTTTAGTCTTGTCCCACTTTTTTTTTAATAACTGGATAATCAAATAGTTTC